ATTTGCAAAAGAAATGAGAGTAGACCTTAAGAGTCTGAGGTGGGAGAGATGGAAAAGAGGACTCAGCTGCCTGGAGCAGTGGAGAACTCTTAAAGGATTTTTCTTCTTTTTGTTTTTTTTCAGGGTGCTTTCCCAAGTCATCCAGCTAAATTGACTCACCCTGCACCCACAGTCCCATTCAAGGGAACGCACCACGGATGCTGGCAAGAAGCAGGACCCCCCTTTCAAAGGCTCTTGGCTGCTAAATGAGTGTAACAGAGACATGAAGTTGCTACTCCCCATCCACTTGCATTAGGGCAGATGATGCCTCCATACCTGGTCTTCACCATGACAATTTGTCAACTGAGTCACCACGTATCACGCCCTGCTGAGGACAAGAAAGGTATCTGGTGCAACAGCGTAAGGCCACAGATGTCAGAGGGCTTCTCCTTCAACTAGCCAAGTGTTTTAATCTGCCTGTGTCACCTCGCTTCCTTAACTAAAAAAAAAACACAACACCAAAAAACCAAAAAGAGAACATAAGAACATCCACTTTCTCCTGGTTTTTGTCCTTCTTTTCTATTTTGTAACTGTGAAAAGAGAACCAAAAAGAATGTCAGTGTCACTCCTTTTTGTGGTCACTTGGCAAGCTGCTTGTGGGCCAGGAGTGTGACATGGGGCAATCCAGAGGGTTCAGCTTCCTACCCAAAAGGTCCAGGAAAACTGGAGCTGTTTTTTCCAAGGTTTCAAAAATGGGATATAATAATATTTTTTTTCCTGAGGATACTAAATTCCTGTAAAAGACAGAAATAATAGTTAGAGTATTTCAGCTCAATTTTAGACATGGGGAAACTGAGGCAAAACTTTGGATCTACACAAAATCCCACAAGCAACCTGTGTCAGATGCACACCCTCATCCTTCTTTTCTGTTCCCCCATGTCACGCTTTGAAACAGTTCTGGACTCATTTCATCTGAATAATGATGTCAGGAGATATTGGGATGTTGGTTTGGATTCTAAGTGACACCAGCGAGCACATATCTGAAGTCGGAAAACACAAGGAGTACAAAACATGCAACCACCAACACAGGCTGAACTGCTTTTTCACAGTACAATTATTTTCATTTTTAAAAAACTACTATTTTTTTAAAAGGTCCTAATTCTGAGAGTGTGTCCCCCCAGCACTTTAACCTGTACTACCCAAGCTGCTGTCGGCAAGGTGCTAGTGCTAAACAGCCAGGCAAAGTGGCTGTGTCTGTATGGGCAATTCAGCTGAGCCGAGGACGCTTCTCCAGCCCTGACGGCACCAAGCTGGCTTGCATCCATGCAGCTAAACTCCATTCAGGATGGCATCATCCAGCTCTGCCCTGGGACTCATCCCTGGCTCCAGCTCTGACTCAGGCTAAAAGTTTCAGGTAAAGATGTGAGAGTTGAGAAAAATTGTGCTCTGGTGCCCAGGAACATCACCATTTGTTTCAGCGACATGACTTGGGTTTTCCATCACCCCAAATTAGCACATGTCAGCAGCCACCAAATGCTCCAGGACCTGCCGTGTGACCCAGACTGGCAGGACCACAGATTTACTGTGGATTTCTGTAGGCATCAGTGTTGCTGGTTATAACCACAGCCCAATCCAGGCAGCCTGCTGTCTGCTTCAAAGCACCCAGGAACAGGCAGGCCAGCCTCCCCTGGGAGCTGGAGACTCACAAGGAGACTCACAGCCACATGGAGGGAACAATTTTCTTGGACTCATTAAGTGGAGACCCCCTCCACTGTCTCTAGCAGAGGATGCAGACCTGGGCTCTGCCACTGTCTTACCAAACATCCTCTTTCGAGTCACCTCACTGTGTTTTCCATTTGCAAAGCGTTTTGAGATCCACAGACAAAATGGTCATGGAAGAGGGGAAGAGGAGAAGAGGATGGTTTTTCTTGCTTGCACAACTTTAAGGGGGGTCAGCCACACAAACAGTGAGTGAAAGCATCCACAGTGAGGTCTCGGAGGTACGTAATGGGGAATTCTAATGCAAAGCAGTTCAGCCACCTAAAAACAGCAACTGAAAAAGAGAACTAATGTAAATCAAAAGCTATTTCCAGCCTGCTGCAGCGTGGGCACTGTGTTTCCCTAAAACAGCCCCCAGCCACCAAACATAGGCATCCTCCAAAGCGAAGGGGCGAGCAGCATCCCTGCCGAGAACTACAGCTCCCAGGAGCCTGCAGCCCAGGCAGCGCCTGTGCGGGGACCAGGCACTGGGCACAGGCAGGGGTACCAGCAGGGAGGCAGCGCTGGCTGGGGATCCCCCCACCCATGTCCAGGAGGTTTTAGGGCTGCTGTTTCCTACCCCCAAGCCCTTTCCCTCCCTGACCCAGCTCCTCTTTCTCTGTCTCTCCTCCCCCAGTAGTTTTTACATCACTGACACAGACTTCCTGTGAGTCAGCACCAGCAGACATGAACCAAGTAGCTAGAAGAAGAAGAAGAGGAGCTCAAAGTGGGTAGAAATAAGAAAATTTGGCCAATGGCACTTGGACACTTCCAGACCCGCCGTGCTGCCGAGGGAGATGGGAGACAGGTCAGTAAACGGCTGAGCTTGGATGTCTGTGGCCAGGATGGGATGCTCAGGGCTGAACCCCTCTGTGGTGTCTGCATGTGTCCCGCAGCATCCCAAGGCAGCATCCCCAGGACATCTCTGGAAGTTGGGGACGCCGCTGAGAAGCCGGAGTGTTTGTCAAGGTTGGCTGCGGTGGAGTGAACTGGGATAAATTGCCTTGCTTGTCTTTCTCAGGCTGAATCCTGCCTGAGAGATCCGGCTTGCTGCCCTGGCTGGAGGTAACTGGTGGAGTCAGAGGTACAGCTGGTCCTGCTCAGTGGGAGCAGGCAGCTTGGCTAAACTCAGGGAGCAGGAACAGTAGAACAATGCGGGAAGGGGCACCCGTCCTTTAAAATCTGCCTAAAAATGATGCTTTTGGGGCATCTGTGCGACAAGTGCTTGCAGGAGTGATGGAGGCACGGGTGGGAATGAGTTAATAGGTCCAGCCTCTGCCTTGCAAGGAGGAGCTGTGCCTGCTTGTGCCTATGCCTGTGTGTCTCTGTGTGTGTGCTGGTGGGGGGGTTATTCCCAGTGAAAGGAGCAGAGCAACAGCTGAGGAGCTGCTCACATTCATGTGTTTCACAAGCAAAATTCAGGCAGCTGTGCTGACATGCAGCCACCTCTGGGAAAAACAGCCCAGCGCATGGAACAGCCAGAGTGAAAAGTTTGCCTGGGGCAAACTCTGGGCTCTGAAAAGTTGGTCGCCACAGAGAGTAAAAGCAACATCCATTTCTCAGCCTGAAATATCCCCAGAGAACATCTCACCCAATGCCCATCCTTTCTCTTGGTAAGAAAGGAGCAGAGGTGCTGCAAATGCCCTGGGTGCCTGCTGGGATGGCTGGATCAGGGTTCCCTTTGCTCAGCTGAGAGGCTGGACAGGGGCTTCTCAGGACATCTCATCACTTTGACACACTTGGGAGTCAAGGAGCAGGGGAGAAGAGAGTTTTGGCTGGCTGGACCACCATCAGGGACACCTCCCCAGGAGCTGCCCCAGCTCTTGGGGCAGTTTGGTGCTGGTTCTCCCAAAAAGAAAGTTTATGGCAAATGGGGTTCTTCTTCAGGCTGGACTTTTCAAGCAGATGGGTCAATAATGCTGGTGGTGCTGTGGCGGTACCCTTCATGGATCAGGCATGACAACCTGCAGATTGAAGCTGGCACCAAGGCAAAACTGGACCTTCAGCAGTCCAACCACAGGGCAAGGGGACAGGGGAAGGAGTTGAGTCCCTGCTGTCCTCCTGGACACCAGAAGGACCTCTCTGCCCGTTCAGATGTCTTCCTGGCCGCCCACTCCAGCAGCCTTGCACAGGCTCTGGTGTCTGCCCTGGTGCTGCACAGGGAACTGAGGACATCGGTGCGAGTGTCACTTCTGCCTCCAGCCTGTCTGGCTGCAGCTGTGACCCAGATGTCCCTGTCCCCTCACCGAGTTGGACGTGACACAAAATTTCTAGAGAAATAAGTGGGCACCTGCCGAGGGACGGGAGCCCCATGGGGGTCGCGCAGCCAGGTGACCCTCAGGCAATGCTCGGGCAGTTCTGCTTCACAGATGTGAGATTTCAGTGCTGTCTGGAGGCCGGGGAGCACAATGTGATATGTCCCAGAGATGAGCAGCTGTTTGCTCATCCTCAACATTTCCCCTTGTGGTCCCAGAAGGTCCCTCTCTGCCAGTGCACTGAAGGAGGTACAGATGATCTCAGTGACCACTCTTCACATGGGACATGTCTGGCCCTGGCCCCAGCCCCTGGTCTGGTCATCCTGGCTCAGAGCAGGGATTGCACCACCCTAGGGATCCTCCAGAAATGGGTCTGCATGTACCCGTCACCAAGAACGATTTACTTCTAGAGGTGCTGATGACCGTCAGTTGGTCCCTGATGGTTATGACCAGCAGCCTTTACCACCCCTCTGAAGAAAAAGTGGTGTTGGTTCCTGCTCAGAGATCAGCACAGCAGGAGCCCCCCAAACCATCAGTTTCTTGTCATGAGTACGTGGAGATGTGGAGAAACTCCAGCTTGTGCCAGGCAGTTCCACCAACCCCCTTCAATCCCTTCCTAGATTTTACAGTCTCTTGGTCATCGGTTTTACTAGATTTAACTAAGCTTGGCTGGGCTTTCATTTATGATTTTCTTTTCCACTTGACAGCTTACCACACTTACTTAAAGTGGTTTGTTTGTTGTTGTTTTTTCCTGTTGGCCTTGACAATAACACCTACCTTGGTTTCTTCTCAGGTTGAGCCCTCATGAAGGAAAACATAGGCTTTCATCTAAAGAAGAGTAACTCAAACCAATGCTGGCATATCCCCATGGTCGCTATCTCCCAGCAGCCCTGGCAGGCAGGGAAAGCTGGTGGCAATGGCCAGGAGGACTCCCAGCAATGCCTCTCCTAGTGAACACCACCCAGACCCCCACCTCTGAAGAACTGGGTGATGGAGCAGCCTGCCATGATGACGCTGGAGCTCTTGGAGGTAGAGAATTTTCTCAGCCACACTCAGGAGAAGTCATACATTTGCATGATTTGTGGGGACAGTTTTAAGCACAAGGGCATCCTGGTGGCCCACCAGAAATCCCATAAGGAGGAGACAGAGGCTGAAGGCTGTGAGAAGGAGGGCAATGCTGACCAGGCTGGAGAGCTGCATGACCAAGAAGCCATCAGAGCTGGAGGGGAGGCCAGTGGGGAAAGCCATAGCAAGCACAGCACACAGAGTGATTCCGAGAGAAGGGAGAAGCCCCATGCCTGTACTGACTGTGGGAAGAGCTTCAGGATGAAGGTGGACCTCACCAAGCACCTCCAGACTCACACAGGTGAGAGACCATTCCCCTGCACCAACTGCGGCAAGAGGTTCATCACCAAATCACAACTCAAGGAACACCAGAGGATCCACACGGGTGAGTGGCCATACAAGTGCCTGGACTGTGGGAAGAACTTCACCCAGAAGTCACAGCTCATCATGCACCGATGGATCCACACCGGTGAGAAGCCCTACCAGTGCAGCAGCTGCCAGAAGAGCTTCGTGGACAAGTCACAGCTGGTGGCCCACCACCGGATCCACACAGATGACCGTCCCTTCAAGTGCGGGGTGTGCGGCCGTGGCTTCCGCCAGAAGATCACCCTTACCAAGCACCAGCGGGTCCACAGCACCCAGGGGGCCCAGCGGCATGCTGCTAGGGACATCGTGACCGAATCCACTCCAGCAGGGGAGAAGATCTTCTGCTGCGGCACCTGCGGGAAGGAGTTCAAGAAGAAGTCAGTGCTGGTAACCCACCAGAGGATTCACACCGGGTAGGAGCCCTACCCCTGCCCCATGTGCGGGCGGTGCTTCTGGCAGAAGATCCACCTTGCCCGGCATCAGCAGACCCATGAGAGGCCCAATGCCCACGTCTGCAGAGCCTGTGGGGACCACTTCAGCAGCAAGAGGGAGATGCTGTGGCACTACTGGGCCTGCCATTCCTGGCAGGCCCCCCACACCTGCATCACCCGTGGAAAGCGCTTCAGCCAGAAGGTTGGCCTCATGGCCCACTGCCGTGTCCATGCACGGGAGAAGGAGACTGCCAATGCCGCAGGGGTCAGCAGCTCCCCACCACCCTCAGTGGTACCCATGCCTGTGGGCAGTGTGGGAAGACATTCACCAAGAAGAGCAACCTGGTCAACCACCAGCAGGCTCATGCTGAGGGCCAGGGTCACCGCTGCAGGGCTTGTGGCAAGGGCTTCACCAAGCGGGGGGAGCTGACCAAGCATGAGCAGACCCACACCAGGGAGAAGCCCTGCGGGTGCAGGCAGTGTGACAAGCACTTCGCCCAGCGCACCCAGCTCGTCACCCACCAGCGCGTCCACACCGGTGAGCGGCCCTACCCCTGCAGTGACTGTGGCAAGCGTTTCGGTGACAAGTCACGACTCACCGTCCACCGGCGCATCCACACTGGTGACCGGCCCTTCCCCTGTACCACCTGTGGCAAGGGCTTCTGCCAGAAGATTGCCTTGGTTAAGCACCGCTGCATCCATGAGTGCAGCAGGGGCAAGGGAGGCGGCAAAGACAGTAGTACCAATGCCAATGCTGACGGCAATGCCAACGGCAATGCCAGTACCAACACCAATGCCAATGTCAAGACCAACGCCAGTGCCAATGCCGATGCCGATGCCAAGGCGGCTGGCAAAGATGAGGAAAGCCTGGCTGTTCCCTGTCGGCGGCTCCCCGTTGGTGAGCGGCCCTTCTCCTGCAGCGAGTGTGGGAAGGGCTTTGCCCAGAAGGCCCAGCTGGCAGTCCACCTCCTCATCCACACCGGGGAGCACCCCTTTCTCTGCACCGACTGCCCCAAAGCTTTCATTGACAAGTCCTGCCTCGCTGTCCACCGCCGCACCCATACTGGCGAGCGCCCCTTCCCCTGTGCTGCCTGTGGTCGAGCCTTCACCCAGAAGGTCGCCCTCGCCACCCACCAACGAGTCCACATGCGGGAGCACCAGCCACTGCCAGCCCCAGTTCCCCTCGGACCCCAGGGTGAGGAGTGGCCCTTCACCTGTGCCGTCTGCGGGAGAGGTTTCCGCAAGGAGATTGCCCTCATCACCCACCAGAGGGTCCACACCAAGTATGACCCCAACCGCTGCAGCAAGTGTGGGCAGGTCTTCCCTGACAGGACCCAGCTCCGGCTCCACCAACCCTCCCATGCAGAGGACCGGCCATTCAAGCGTGCCACGTGTGGGAAGGACTTCAAGAGGAAGGAGATCTTGATTACCCACCAGAGGGTCCACACGGGAGAGGTGCCCTTCCAGTGCCTCCAGTGCAGCAAAAGCTTCTCACAGAAGGCCAACCTCATGAAGCACCAGCTCACTCACACCCGCCGGGGCCCATTTATCTGCTCTGACTGTGGGCAAAGCTACGCCACCATTGGACATTTCAAGAGGCACTAGAGGAACCACCTCAAGAAGCAAAGCCCTCCTAGTGAGGGAGAGGAGCCCCTTGAGCACTTGGCAACTGGCCATGTGCCACTGGAGCCAGTGGGTGGCCCCAGCAGCCCCATCATTGTGGTGAAGACAGAGGTTGATGCTGATGACTATGAGGTCCTACAGGTCCCATGATGGCAAGGATCACGCACTCAGGGAGGGAAGGGCTGATGCCTGCCCACTTGGGGATGGGGATGCTGCATCCACCACCAAGGTCCATGGTCCTGTGGGAGCTGCTCCCCTGGGAACATCTCACAGTATTTGGTGGAAGCCAGGAGTGGAAAACCTGGGATGATCTGGACTTCTGCACACAGCAATCCCTGAATCAAACTTCAGCCAAAACTGACTGACACAATGTGAAATCTGGGGGCAAGGGAGGGATATAAATACGTATTTTGGCTTGTTTTTTGTATCTTCTATAAGAGTCCTCATTTCAAGAGGGTGTTTTGGTTTGTTTTGGGTTTTTTTTTGCTAACAGGAGGGCTGAGAAGCTCTTTTTTTTAAAGCAAGTAAATGAAATCTGTGATTTCGGATATATTCACATGACTCCAAGAGCTGGAGCTTTTTTAAAAAAAAGGACGAAAAATCTCACCGAACGTTATAAGGCTTGCCATCACCAACTTCCCGGCAGGAGTCAGAGCAGACCATCGTTGGTCCCTAGCCTTCCAGCTATTGACACCAGCACCAGCCATCCTGCAGACACATGGAGCAGCACAGAGTCTGCTACCATGGAAAAATTGCAGCCAGAAATAAGGAAGGATGTCACAGCCAAAGGACTCAGGGATGGGGACCCCGCGGGCTCCTGGGGAAGGGCCACTGAGATCAATAACTCTCCTCGTGGAGGGCAAACACCTACCCACACAGCCTAGTTTACAGAGCCAGAGTAAGAGCCCTGGCTGGGAACTAACGCAGGGTTTATATGAAGACATCATTTTTTCCTAGTTTAAAATAACCTCATGCATGGATTGATTGTGCAGGATAATCCCTGGGCGTATTTATTATGGAGTTGAGGGCATTCGTTGCACAGTCACAGTTTCAGAGCAGCATTTGGGAGCTTGCCAGACCTGTTTCTTGTACCACATGCTCAGTTGCAATGCCGAGATGTGGCTCCTAAACCTGAAGACCGGCTGTCTGTGCCGTGTACAGCCGCACTGCAGTAGGGAGAAACCCTCTACAACTGTCCTCTGTGTCACACATTTGCAGTCGTGACCACAGTATGGCACCAGCAAAAGGTGTGTTTAATTGCTCTGCCAAGAAAAGGAGGCGTTAGGTTGCTCCCAGTGCCCCACCACTCTGGGTGGAATTGGGGGTTAGCAGAGGCTGTTCCCACCACGGCTGCGGATGAGCCTCCCCACAGCTGGCATGAAGACCCTGGCCCTACGGGCTATGCTGTCCCATAGGACCCCTCTGACCCAGCTTAGTGACACGGAGGCCACCTCCAAGGTGCACCTCCAAGGCCACCTGGCCAAGCAAACTTGCTGTTTTGAGTGGTTTTGAGGGAGAAGAAAGAAGGGCTTCGCTGGGCAATCAAAGCGCCACTTCAGACTTGCTGGGGGGGTTCAGTTGCTTTTGCATCCTGGACATTACTACCAGAGCTCGCTTCAGCGACAGCAAGAAGGGGGTTCACCACCCCCTCCCTGGAGCCGGGTGCTCCCCGTGCCCAGAGCAGCACGCTCCACCCTCCCACTCCCTCCTTAGCCGCCAGGTTTTGCCTTCGAGGTCGCACAAAGGCAGCGAGGCACACCACCATGTCCATGCAATGCTAACTTTCCATACCTGGGTGTGCCTTTGGAGCTCATGCAGTTCCCCCATTAAAATGACCCAGTGTGAAATGTCCCCCTTCCCTCCGTGTTTTTAGCAGCGCTCACCGTTGCCGGATTCGGCATGCGGCCTGCGCTCCATCCCCCAGTGCAGCCCCTGCTGCTCCACGTCCTGGCCATTAAGTTAATATTCTGCCATTAACTATGGCAAAGAGCTCCGATGCCATGAAGCGATGGCAGGAGCCAAAGGCAGGCTCAATACGCCACTATTAGCTTGCAAAAACTGGGCCAGCCTGTCTTCAAACTCTGCGTGGTCACTAGACGAGCCAAATGCATAGTTATACAAAATTAAGGACCGTTTTCATTTTGTTCTTTTTTCCCCCAGTAGATCTTTCCGATTTTAAAGATTTACTTCAGCATTTCTGTTGGTTTTATTGGCTGTTTTTTTCCCCGCATCTGTTTCACTGGCGGTAAATTCATCAGCCTTCAATAGGTACACTGATAACAGACCGTGATAATAGTACACTAAACTATTACATGGAAAGCAGGGAATTAAATTATTCACTGCAAAATAGGCCATGGTGGAAGAGTGCTGTTTCCTGAAAGCTTTGTGTCCTTTCAAGCTTGCTTTTTTTTTTGTGCAAGATGTTCTTGCTCCAGTAATCTTTGCACAGCTCTGCCCTATTTCTGCAAGCTAAAGGCAGCAAGCTGGTGTGTAGGCTCAGCCCTTGCTGACCAATGGCCCCCACCTTGTCCTTTGTTTGGGGATTTTCTCTCAGGAATTAAATGACAGCAAGGAATAAATTATCCAGCTCCTCTTTTCTAACTGATCCTGATTTCTTTAACTCATACTATGTCTTGCTAATAATCCCGCTGCACATAAACAAACGCTAGCTGGGGATGATCGGAAAGTGGCTACCTACATCGCGTAGCAAAGCTTCTGCCCCGATTAGGTGACCGCTTTTCCAACCAGGGGGATTACGAGTGATGAGCAACAGACCATGTTACTGGAGCATGAATAGAAGAAGAAAAGGCCTTGACTAAACATCTTTCAAATAAGACCCAGGAGGAAAAATAGTAGAGCGTGAGCATGGTTTGGTTGGACTCTCCTTTGGGGAACAGGACCAGCTCTGTGTTTATGAGCTGTGGCTGAGCAGTTTTCCATTGGCTTTCTAGAAAAGTTTGACCGCCGTGGGGTGAATGAAGATGAATTCTTAGTCTAACAAAGTCTCTCACCTGCAAATCATCCTAATGTCAAGTAAGAAAATAAAAGAGATTGGGAATATATCTATTTTTCCCTGTCTCAGTAGTTGCAGGTCCACCATGCTCTGGGGCAGGCTTCATTTCACCTGAATTCATGTCTCTACAGTACAGATGTAAACTTCTGAGCCAGTCATCCCCCATTTAAAATCAAAGGAGAGAAACAGAGAAATGGAGAAAGTGATTTTTCTGCCCTATTTAGATGTCCACTCTGGGATGAGACTCCAGGACGTCGTTGACTCTACTGGCTACATCTCCATGGGCTGCAAAGGGGAGCCGAGCTCGGAGGGACACATCCCCATCAGTTCATGGGGTTTTTAGCCTACAGCAGCCAATCTGTTCAGGAAAAGAGACGGGGCTTTAGTGACGCAGGCTGCAATGGCCAGCGGTTATTAGACATAATTGGAGCATGGAGTCAGCACTGCAGATGCCTCTGTCGCAAAAGCATCCCAGCCCTCAATTTGTTTGCTGCACTGCGCCGCGCTGACGAAGCTCTGCCTGCCAATGGTCCCAGCTGCATGTGGCTTCCCGAGGGAGCGAGCTGGTGTAGACAGGGGTGGGGTAAGGCCGGTATAATCCACACAGAGGAAGATGATTATTTCCCAGGTATATTTTTTCTGACTTTGTTTTTATTTATTGGTAGGCAGAAGGTAGCCATGCAGGAGAAGGAGGAACTAGTGGGAGCTGTGAACACCCACTGAAATATTAACATATGATCCAACGTTATTTGCTATTCTTCCCTATGTTTCTTTTTACAAAGCAAAACAAATTACATTTTGCAATTGTCCTTTTTAGTATCATGTCCCAGCATACTTTTGCTGTATAGGATCCTTCAACTATGAGATTCACCTCTTTCCCCTAGGTTTTTTCCTCTGATTTGCAGATAGTTTGCCTCTATTTTTCTAATAAAAAGCTGTACTAAAAAAAAAGCTGTGCTTCAGTGCTGTTGGATTCAAGTCATCTCGAATGGGATGGAGGTGGGGGAGGTAAGAGCTTGGGATGGAAGCATCCACCTCAGACCAGGACACCAGCATCCTCATCTCAATTCAACCCTTCATCCCATGGCAGGTCTGAAGGGGGGGGTTGTGTGAGACTGAGGTTTTGCTATAGGAATCACTGAGAAGGAACTTAACTTTCCAAGTCTCTCTACAAACGTTTGGAAAAGGACATGCAAGGTCCTCACTCATCTTGGTGTAAACCAGGCTGCAAAGATCAGTTATAAACAGGGGCAAAATAGAGGTGAGAAGTGACTGATGAGCAATCTTGTCTCCAAGCGGCCGGTGCATCCTGGTTGTCTCCTGCTCAGAGCGTTACTGTTTGCTGGTGATCACAGTTTTGCAAACAGGAGCTCATCAATGGGGAACGAGCAGCAGGGCAGAAAATGAGAATGAGACCTCTCTTGTTCACATTCACACCTGGCATCATGGGCATCCTAAACCCACTATTCTCTGTGCCAGCCCAGTGCCATGCTTCCTGGGACGCGAGAAGACCCTTTTTTTAAGAAGCGGGAATTAGACATGGTAGAAGAGATACAAACCACGTTTATTTAACGAATCCCCTGCTGGTGCGCTCAGCTAAGACGCTGGTCCCCAGGTGCTCCTGTTCCCTTCCCATGGTTTGCCCCAGACCTTAATTTTGCTTTGTGGTTTGTGATGGCACCTGGGCTACACGTCTGCGGACCTCTCTGAGCCAGACCTGTGTCACAGGCCACTCGGTGACACAACGGGAGGTTTCTTTCCGGTGCCCCTTAGTTATTTTCTGAGCCACTCTCACTGACCAGGTGAATTGCCCGATCCTCCAGCCTCCATCAATCCCCATTTTGTTTGCACCAAACAGCCGTTTGACTTGCTGCTCCCCTCCTACAGAGGGACATTTGTTATTCAGAACAAAATACTATGTTGCCGTGTTATTTAATCAAGTCAAAATTCATAGGCAGCATCTGTGCAGAAGATAAAATGTTTTGGGACAGTTTAGTCCTTTTCTCATCTGCGTGATTACGGTTATGTAAAGACTTTTCTTTCAAACACGGAGATGGAGTTTCATAAGCGAGGGACCAAAATAGTGCCAAGTAGCCAACCATCTCCCCTTGATCGCACTGGATTAGTACAATTAATC